TGCTGAACGCTGCTGAACGCTGCTGAACGCTGCTGAACGCTGCTGAATGATGCTAAACTCTGCTGAACACTACTGAACCCTACTGAACTCTACTGAACGCTGCTGAACTCTGCTGAACCATACTGAACACTGCTGAATGATGCTAAACTCTGTTGAACCATACTGAATGCTGCTGAACACTGCTGAACCATACTGAACGCTGCTGAACCATACTGAATGCTGCTGAATGATGCTAAACTCTGCTGAACCCTACTGAACACTGCTGAACTCTGCTGAATGCTGTTGAACTCTGTTGAACTCTGCTGAACTCTGCTGAACCATACTGAACGCTGCTGAATGATGCTAAACTCTGCTGAACCCTACTGAACGCTGCTGAATTCTGCTGAACGCTGCTGAACTCTGTTGAATTCTGCTAAACTCTGCTGAACGTTGCTGGACTCTGCTGAACTCTGCTGTCATCACTGAGGGACACCAAATATGTTTTAAATATAGAAAATACTGAGAACTGGACCTGAACCGGTTTTGATCAACTTTTTGCCCAACTTGAATCAGTTTAGCTACAAAAACTAATCACATGTTGCTTACCTGTTGTTAGACATGATGCAACAGACATGACCAAACGAAGACTTGGATGACAAAAGTGGAAACATTAAAAATAAATTCTAAGTGAATGTCTCATTTTATTGGCTGCTCTATTGTTGTGTGCCTGTTCATATTGTTGTGTGTCTGTTAATATTGTTGTGTGTCTGTTCATACTGTTGTGTGTCTGTTAATATTGTTGTGTGTCTGTTAATATTGTTGTGTGTCTGTTCATACTGTTGTGTGCCTGTTCATGTTGTGTGCCTGTTCATATTGTTTTTGTGTCTGTTCATATTGTTGTGTGTCTGTTCATATTGTTGTGTGTCTGTTCATATTGTTGTGTTTCTGTTCATGTTGTTGTGTGCCTGTTCATATTGTTGTGTGCCTGTTCATATTGTTGTGTGTCTGTTCATATTGTTGTGTGTCTGTTCATGTTGTTGTTTGTCTGTTCATATTGTTGTGTGTCTGTTCATGAAGCGTTCACACAATCATGTCATCCATTTTTCTTCTGTACATTTTTCAGCTGGATTCTCGTCCGGCAGTTTTATTTCATCAAATCATGAATCAAAACGTTCGGCTCTTTCAGGACAATCCTGCTGTGACTTTTGGTGTTGGTGCAACTTTAGCTTTTTGAAATATTTAGCCTTTTCTGACATTTTGTTCTCATAGAAAATGAACTTAGCTCATTTTACATCTTTCACATCTTTAGATGTGTTTACAACCTTTTACTGCTCCTTTCACATTTTGTTCTGCTTCAGCTTCTTTCAGCTTCCTGCTGAAAATTTAAACTTTTTTCGGCTAATTTCAGCTGTTTTTTCAGCTGTTTTGTGCTTCTTCTAACTTCTTTCTTCTAATTTCAGCTTGTTGTGCTCCTTTCAGATTTTTTCCACTAGTTTCAGCGTTTCTGCTATTTCAGATACTATTTAGTTTTTTTATGCTACTTTTAGATTTTTTCAGCTAATTCCACATTTTTGGCACCCAGTTTAACTTTTTTCAGCCTAATTCAGCAAAAATGTGCTCTCTCCACAACCCTCAGCTAATTTAAGCTTCTTTTTGCCTTTTAGCTACTTTTATGCTGTTTCTTTTTTGCTTATTTCCACTTTTTTGTGCTCCTTTCTGCTTCTTTCAGCCAACATGTTCTTTTTGCTTTTTTCTGCTAATTTATGCTTGTCCTAACTGTTCAGTTACTTTTATTAGCATTTTAAGATCATTTCAGCTTTTTTGCTTCCTTCTGGGAGTTTTTTCAGCTACTTTTTTTCCAGTTTCATCTTTTTAGTTAGTTTTCTAACTTTTGTGTTCATTTCTGCTCATTTCAACTTAATTCAGTAAGTACATGTTCTTTCTGCTTTCTTCTGCTAATTTAGGCTTGTTTCATTTCAGCTACATTTCAGCTGTTTTTAACTAACTTCAGTTTTTTCCAGCAAGTTCTTCAGCAATGAGCATTCACACTCCATTTTCACAGGAAATGCAACTTGTGAAGTTGACTTTAATGTACGGAGAAGTCTCGTTGTAGAAATAAACAGTTTGATCGCAGCCAAACGAACTCCTTGAACTTTTGTGTAAACTGGAAACAGAAGTCAAACTCTCTCCTGTCATGCACCTGCACAAAGACAGATTGTATCCCGACCAACTTGATCTTTCCTGCACTGAGATTAAACGTTTGAACGTCATCACATTTCACAAATGATAAAGCTGTGGTAAAATCATGGCACAGAAACTACAGAAGGTGAACACATTCCTCTGAAATGAAAGCACTTGCACGTCTTGTAAGAAGCAGAACAGATGTTCTTACCTGTACTTAAAGAAGAGCAACTGGATCAACCAAATGGTCAGCAACACTATGCCGTTGATCTCGGTGACTGTGAACGCCCACTGGACTCTGTCAATGTAGTCAAAGAACTTATCAGGAAGAGGCGGGTAGCTCTCTTTGGGAGGAACCCTCTCGTGCACCATTGTGATGACGATGGTCGTCAGGACCAAGTTAAAAGCAGCATAAAAGAAAGCGATCACTGTCTTCCACCACTCTGAGGGCAAAAGGTTCACTTGGGACTCCGGTACGGGGATCTCTACATAGTCATTATGCTGGTTTATGCCTTTTTGAAAACCTCTTGTCGAATCTGGATTATGGACGGGACAGGTTTTAACGGTGCTGGGAATAAAAGCACCCTCCATTCCTGAATGTAGATGGTCAACTGTGCAGTCACCACTGTCTGGATGCTCCCCTGACGCCATGGGACACCACCTAAGCACCAACAGGAGTGGAGCTTTTAGCTGCCAAGAAAGAAAACAAGACAGTTAGGTTGGAGCCACCAAGCTGTAGTGATAACTGAAATAACGGTTACAAATAGGCCTGTCATGATAACAAATTTTGCTGGACGACTGTCTCAGAAATTATTGAGATAAATGATAATATTGTTTGAAATTTGACATTAGTAATTATTGTCAAATTTAAGAAGAAAAGTAGGTTAATTTCTGTTTAGTACCTAATTTTGACCACTGGATGGCAGTATAAGACCGTTTGAACCGAAGGATGGATAGTGAGGGAGCGAGCAGCGTGTCTCTTTAAGAAAAATTGGAGGGAGGCCCTTTGACATGACATGGGCTGTCTCTTGTTCTTGTTTTTTGGTTCTCAAAATGGCGGACGCTCGGTGTGGTTTGAGCTCTTTAGCATTTGTCACTTAAAACTTTTAATAAAAATCAGTAAACAAGTTCTCAGCTTCTTTTTGCAGAGAAAAACAGCTTTTTAGACTTAAGCCCTGTTCGCACAGGATTAGGGACCACATGCTATTTGTAATAATTACGATGAGTGTCTGTGTTGTTAATCCCGTGCGAATCGGCCATGTGAGTAATTTGTAAAGTACAAATTACTCGCACATTACCGACTATATGTTGCTGAACTTTGAGGTCCAGAGATAAAACTAATCTAATGTGAATAGACATCTCTGTAAATTGGACAGAAATGCACAGGATCCGACACGTAATGAGGCGGTTTTTGTTTCTTCATCCATCCATTTTCTTCTGCTTATCTGGGGTCGGGTCGCGGGGGTAGCAGCCTAAGTAGGGAGGCCCAGACTTCCGTCTCCCCAGCCACTTGGGCCAGCTCCTCCGGGGGAATCCCGAGGCGTTCCCAGGCCAGCCGAGAAACATAGTCCCTCCAGCGTGTCCTGGGTCTTCCTCTGGGTCTCCTCCCGGTGGGACGTGTCCGGAACACCTCACCAGGGAGGCGTCCAGGAGGCATCCTAACCAGAAGCCTGAGTGTCCAGGAGGCATCCTAACCAGATGCCTGAGTGTCCAGGAGGCATCCTAACCAGATGCCAGAACCACCTCAACTGGCTCCTCTCGACGTGGAGAAGCAGCGGCTCTACTCTGAGTCCCTCCCGGATGACCGAGCTTCTCACCCTGTCTCTAAGGGAGAGCCCAGACACCCTGCGGAGAAAACTCATTTTGGCCGCTTGTATTAGAGATCTCGTTCTTTCGGTCACAACCCAAAGCTCGTGACCATAGATGAGGGTAGGAACGTAGATCGATCGGTAAATTGAGAGCTTTCACTTTTGACTCAGCTCTCTCTTCACCACGACAGACCGGTACAGCACCTTTTTGTTTCTGTTTAAGCAAAATCATTTTGGAAAAATACAGAACAAGGTTATTTTAAATGAACGCAGTGCTCGCTGCGGCTTTTTTTAATGTTTTTTTTGCTTCAGCTGTTATGCTGCTACTTCTTTCACCGCAGACGACAGAAGGTGTGCAGACCCAAAGAAACAATAAAGCCGATAAATGAAAATGAAGTAGATAATTTTCTTTTATAATGTGATTAATTGATTTATTGTTTATCGCGACATGCCTAAGCAGGACATGTTAGACTGGTACAGGACATGTATGAGGACAGCAGGACATGTATGAGGACAGCAGGACATGTATGAGGACAGCAGGACAGTGGTGAGATGTGCTGTATGAGTGACAGATAGCTTCAAGGTGGAGGTGGGAGTGCATCAAGGATCAGCTCCGAGCCCCTTCATGTTTGCTCTGGTGATGGACCAACTAACAGATGAGGTCAGGCAGGAACCCCCGTGGACGATGATGTTTGCAGATGACGTTGTGATCTGTGGTGAGAACAGGGAACAGGTGGAAGAGAACTTGGAGAGGTGGAGGTATGCACTTGAAAGAAGAGGAATGAAAGTCAGCCGTAGTAAGACAGAGTCCATGTGTGTGAGTGAGAGGGAGGAGGTGGAACAGTGAGGCTAGAAGGAGCTGAGGTCACAAAGGTGAAGTTCTTAGGAGTGACAAGGATGGAGAAGATTATGAATGAGATCATCAGAGGTACAGCACAGGTTGAACTGGGAGATGAAGTTAGAGAGGACACACTGAGATGGTTTGGACATGTCCAGAGGAGGGACAGTGGTTTGGACATGTCCAGAGGAGAGACAGTGGGTATATTGGTAGAAGGATGTTAGAAATGCAGCTGCAGGAAAAAGACAAAGAGGAGACATATGGATGCAGTTAGAGAGGACATGGAGGTAGTTGGAGTGAGGACAGAGGACACAGGGGACAGAGGTGGAGGAGGACTCACTGTGGAGACCCCTGTAAAGGGAACAGCCAAAAGAAAAAGTTTTCATGTTAGAAAATGTATGATGATCCTGAAGGATGTCCACCAGACTGCATGTTCTACTGCTAGCTGCTAACTAGCATTAACTGCTAACAGGGATTACAAATCACCAAAGAATTCAATATAATAATAAAAATAAAAATAATAAACTTTATTTCTATAGCACCTTCCAACAACGCCTTGCATTGACCAAGGTGCTTCACAAGACAAAACAAGATTAAAAACAGGACACAATAAATCAGTGCACATTAAAAACACAGCAAGAATAAAAGAAGGTAAAAGAGATTAAAAAAAAAAAAAAAAAACTAAACTACTAAAAGTTAAACATTAAAAGCCCTTTTAAATAAGTATGTTTCCAGTTTGGCTTTGAACAGAACCAGATCAGAGATGCTCATGGGGAAGAGTATTCCAGGCTGTTGGACCTGCAACAGAAAAGGACCAGTCCCCCCATTGTTTGCACCTTGAGCAAGGCACCTCCAGCAGATTTTGACCAGCAGATTGTAAAGCTCTGCTGGGCTGGTGGACTTTCAAAAGTTCTGAAATATAAGGTGGTGCAAGGCCATTCAAAGCTTTAAAACAAACAGCAGCAGCTTGAACTGTGTTGTAAACTGAACTGGGAACCAGTGTAAAGAAGAAAGGACAGGAGTGATGTGTTCATATTTACATGTGTTAGTCAACAAGCAGCAGAGTTTTGTACAAGCTGTAAACTGGAGATAGAAGATTGATTAATACCGACATATAAGGCGTTACAGTAATCAAGCCTAGAGCTCACAAAGGCATGGATGGCCTTCTCCAGATCACTACGGCTAAGGAGTGATTTTACTTTGGAAAGCAGACGGAGCTGAAAGAAGCTGGTTTTCACAACAGAACTGATCTGTTTATCTAACTTTAAGTTACAGTCGAGCTCCACTCCTAGATTTTTTACCACCTGGTTGGCGTGGGGGAGCGGAAAACCTATACTGGGAGAGATGTTGCATGAATTACTGGAAGCACCAAATAAAATCCATTCAGTTTTATCGTTATTGAGGTGAAGAAAATTCTGAGACAGCCAGTGCTTAATGTCGTTTAAGCAGCTGGCAATAGAGTTTAAACTGAGAGAGGGACTGGGAGTGACCGGCAGATAGATTTGTACATCATCTGCATACAGATGAAAAGACAGACTATGGCGTGCAATGATGGGTCCTAACAGCAGCATGTAAAGTGAGAAGAGAACAGGCCCCAGAATGGATCCCTGCGGTACGCCAGAGGTCTAAAAAGAGACTGAAGAAGAGGACAGATCACCTTTCATGAGAGAAAGTTCTGTCTGTTAAATAGGACTTAAACCACTCGAGCACAACTCCCTGAAGGCCAACCTGCTGAGCCAAACGAGTGATCAGGACCTGATGGTCTACAGTATCAAAAGCTGCTGAGAGGTCCAACATCACCAGCAGAACAGGTTTTTTGGCATCGAGGGACAAAAGAACATCATTCTGTACTTTGAGTAGTGCAGATTCAGTGCTATGACCATGTAAACAACAACAACAGTGATGTCAAGGTTTTATTCATATGAACTGACAAGAAATTCCCAGATTTCTTTCGTTGTGGCAGCAATCCACTTTGGTCTTGGTTTGCTCTGACTAGCCAGTTGCTCATCAACCTGATCAGAACTAAACCCTGTTTCTCCAAACTGAGGCCATTTAAAGAGCTATCAACATGTAGCATCTTAAAAATCTATAACGTTTCCAGAGAACACGGATCAAATTTGGTCTGTAAACACATTCATGGTACTATTTTGGTGGGATGCTGTAAAACGTATTAGTGGGAGTTCTAATGGATCCCAGAAAACAAAGCAAGTTAGGAATGTTGTGCTATTATCAGTTAATGACATGAGAGAGCACTCGTGTGAGAAAGATTGAAGCTGGAAGAACTTCAGCGCCTTTAAAAGCCTCGATAATGGATTTGAGGAACGTTGCTCATGTTGGATCAGTGCATCAAAATGGATTTCCTCTGGGATTCATTGAATATAAAGTTCTACTTTAAATTAAGAAAAGAACAACAGCAACAGGAGACAAAGATCTAAAAATGCGTTGGCATAAGAGAGCTGCAGAATGTGTCAGTGTCCTAAACACAAGTTCAATGATCAGTGCAGAAGAGCAGAACGTCCCGGCTGATGGATGCACGCAGGCTTAATGGGTCATAAGATACGACGAACACACAAACACACATTACAGGCCAACCAGAAGGCTGTCCTCCGAGACGTGAACGTTTTTCATTCAACCCTTCAGGCACGTATTGATCCTTTATGTGCGACACTTTTAAAGCTTCACTACAGATGTGGTGCTTTCTTTTGCATGTGACTATTTTAAATAATATATCTGGAGTCAAAGACAGAGAGGGAGTATGTGTGCAGAGCTTTCCCACAGAGCTCCAAGCCTTCAGACAGGGATGGGTGTTGTGGGAGAACTGGTTTAAAAACAGCCTTTTCCATGCAGTAACCAGTTGTAACGGAGACTCGGCTGCCTCTGCTCTGACAGGCTATTTCAGGAAAAGTCCACAGTTGCTTCCAGGGCTGTACTTTACTCTGGGAGAACCAAGTTTTCTTTTCTATTCTGGGGTCTGTATAATAACAGACTGCTTTCACCGGCCACTCGTTTTCAGTTTTACATCGTGTACGCCATCTTCATCAAGGCGAGGGATGAAAAATAAATCATGAAGGATGAAGTGAGCAGTAGTAAAAATGGTGGCGCTGCAGACTTTGAGTAAATACTTTGTTACAAGTAATTTAATTCAGTTTATTCATATAGCCATATATATATATATATATATATATATATATATATGTGTGTGTGTGTGTGTGTGTGTGTGTGTGATTGGTGTTTTTTAACCACATTAGATTCAGCTCAGTGTTTGCTCATTGAACTGAGTGTTTTGTGCTGGTTAAGGTTAACGATGGATTTAATTAAGTTCAATTCAAAAGCTAATCAGCTGAAGATGTTCAACAAGTGACTACTTTCTGATAATGTTAATTAAATATGTCCTTGCTTCAAGAAATATTTTGCTAACAGGCAGGCAGCCAAATGGTAAATTATCATTTTTCCTTTTCAATAATAAATGATCACAGATTTGAGTTTTGAAAGACATAAATCTCTTGTAGAACTTGGGTGAAGGTGAAAATAGTGAAGTGTTCTCAAAGGGGGAACAAAAATCAGGGACTTGTTGTTTTACTGGAAGATCTCATAAAATCTGAGCTCATAACATACAAAGTACCTAGACTCCAAAAACCCACAGACATGTTGAATACAAATGGAGGAAACATTCAAAAACACTTAAAACTCCCGTTCCTTAAGAGGCCTGACTAAAGATTGCTGTGAAGCCTATAACAGCCGATGGTCACCTCTTAGCAGCTAAAGGCCTCTCTTCCGCTGGCTGCTGATGACCATCAGTCCACTGACGGCCACGTTAGAGAGACACAACTCTAATTAAATATATACATTGTTGTCTTTCTATTTGTCCAAGGAGACTCTCAATTATTCAGTCATGCTAATGTTTCCATGGAAGGATTCTGAATAATTCAGAACGCAATAAACTAAATCTTTACTCGTATGGAAACTAAAATATTGTTAGAACCAAGTGACAGTTGAGAAGTTGTTTCAGCAGAAGTTTGGTGGAGACTTGAAGTGAGCGGTTCATACAAAACAGGAAACTCAGGAACAACCATGACGCTCACAGGTTGAATCAGGTCGTGTGGACGGGAAACGTTTCGTCTTTCATTCCAAAGCCTTCATGAGTCTGAGTCCTGCCACCACGAGCTGTCGTACGAACCGAAGCAAACACGGCGCTGGTCCGTACAGCCGAGCACAACAGAACCCCCAGCACTGATCTCTTCAGACCTAACGAGGTCTGGTCGTCTGCACCGATTCTTCTTCGCTGAAACGTTTTCACCTGGTTAGATTTATCCAGCTGGATTACTGAGCAGCATCAGGACAGTCTCTTCAAACGTTTGCTGCTGCCTGACATTGGTTGGAAAAAGATGCGCACGTTTTCATCTTCAGGTTGGGACCATGTGAAAATATGAGATGTCTATACAGGAACAACATCTCTGCTAAAACCAACTGAACGACTGCTGAAACTTCCTGAGAAACTGGAATGGAGTTGTCAAAGCTGAAACAAAGCAGAACACCAGCTAAAAGCTACTTTTAAAGCAAAGCTAAAAGTAGCAACAGGCTAGCTAAACCATACGGTAACAAAAAGCTAGCTAAATTAAATGCTAAAAGCAGCAAAGACCCAGAAACTGAAAGTAGTGTCAAGTCAACTAAAAGCTAAAACCAAAAAATGCTAACGGTCAGCCAGGAGTATGAAAGGACTAGCAGGAAATTAAAAGTAGCAAAATGTTAACCAAAACCTTAAACTATGAAACTGACAGCTAAAAATCAAATGTGTAAAATGTCTAGCTAGATGTTAAAAGAAGCTGAAATGCAGCTACAAACTGAAAGGATAGCGCGAGCGGAGGCTGCGCAGGAACTGTTTGCTGAAGGGCCAGTACGTGGATGTACTCAGTTAAAGTACTATGTTCTGAAAGTCCTGCACTATTTTAAAGTGCCCAGACCCAAATAGCCCAGCATGTCGGCCTCTAATCTTGTGGGTTCTGCTGTTCAACCAGATGTGGGCTGTGATGACAGGACGCTCCTGGGCCTCCTCTGTATTACAGGGTGGCACGTTTCGCCTCATCTAACGGCCTGCAGACACTTTTGAGGTTTACCTTCGGGGTGTAAGCCCAGTGGCCCCACACGCTGTTAAACAGCAGCTTCAGCTGAGGCTGGGTGGGGCAACGAGTCCTCTCGTAACCAAGCCCTATAGTTTCTTTCAGGACAAGTAACAGACAATTCCAATTAAAACAACATTTATTTAAAAAAACATGCACAGTTCTATAATTCTTAAACAGGCAACTGTTGTTTGAATTATTATAGCCACAGATTCGTAGTCATAAAGACGAGCAAATAAAACTCTCTGCTGACTCCATATAGAGCACATTTGTGAATAAGACAGAAAAAGTCGACTGTCATCATTTCTGCTCCACATTTAAGGCTGAACAGTGGTTTCAGGGAACAGAGAGTTGTCCTACCGGCCTTGGAGGGGCCTCCTGGTTGCTCTTGGTGGAGTTGCAGATGTCCGACTCCTGATGCTGATGCTGCTGCACCCTGTGTGCTCTGTGCTCCTCACAGGCTGCACTGTTACATTACACGACACAGCTGCTGGCTTTTTATGAAGCGCTCCTCCCTGACCGCCCCGCATGTTCTGAGAACCATCCAGCCTCCAGCCTCACATCCCTTCTCATCCAGAGCAACTGTCCTGTAATCAGGGCACACACATCCTGTGATGTGCTCGTGGGACAGAGCTGCTCCACACTATTCACAGCTGGGACTGTTTTCAAGAAATAAAACTTTACAAACTGAAAAAGCACAAGGTTAAAAATACAATCAGGAAATGGATACATTTCTTGATTCTATTGAAATCCAGTCATTATCAACGAGAAACTTTTTCATTTCTGATCATGGTGACGTTTTATAATGTTTTATAACGCTTAATAATGTTTGTGTGTGTGTTAAAGTGGAGTTTTCTTTTCGCCTAAGAATAAAAACATGTCAGGTCTGGTGATGCTCTGCAAACACGCACGGTCCGACAGCGCGATGGAGAAATAAAACTGACATCAGATCAGTTTCCGCTCCGACCGGAAATTACAGCGGAAATGCGTCACTTATTCGCAAGTGACGTGGCAGCTATAGAAGTGGGTGCAGTCCTTTTAAGTCAGCCGGGCAATGACAGCGATGATGAGTGGGGGAAGCGACAAGCGTTGAGTCGGCGATCCTCTGACTTTATCCATTATGTTGGGATTGTAGCAATAAAGCACTGCATCACGACATAAATCAGCTGTGTTTTATTTGCATCACTCGCGTGGTCAACGTGTCCACGAGCCACAGTATCTGCTTGAAATAGAGCGCAAACCCCGCCTACTCTGTCAACCACTTTGTCAGCCGGGTAACAAATGGAGTGCAGCTACTGCTCCTGGTCGTTGCCCAAAACCTTCTCCGGTTCCCACCGTTCAATGAAATTACCTGTCCCTGCGTTAAACGTTTATTTGCACAAATAAACACAAACTTTTCCTTTACAAACAAAATCTTCGCGTGTATGTGTTTTAAAGAGTTAGTTGTCCGTTGATTTCGCTGCAGTCAGACATGATGGAGACGCACGGAAACAAGAAACCGAAGCTGAGCAACGTCACCGAGAGCTGGGTGAGTTTTATTTCTTCAAACTGGATTTAGACGAGACGTTTAGTCTGGACCTGGATCAGAGTCTGGACCTGGATCAGAGTCTGGACCTGGATCAGATCTACACGAAACAAATTTAAAAAGCCATCGAGACGGTGGATCAGCGGCTCGTTCAGCCCTTGTTGCTAACTCGAGAGAAGCTAGGTTGAGCTAAAACATCGATCCTTTACTGATCCTTTACTGATACATCGATCCTTTACTGATGCTTTACTGATGCATCGATCCTTTACTGATACATCGATCCTTTACTGATACATCGATCCTTTCCTGATACATCGATCCTTTACTGATACTTTACTGATACATCGATCTTTACTGATACTTTACTGATACATCGATCCTTTACTGATGCTTTACTGATGCTTCGATCCTTTACTGATGCTTCGATCCTTTACTGATGCTTCGATCCTTTACTGATACATCGATCCTTTACTGATGCATCGATCCTTTACTGATACATCGATCCTTTACTGATACATCGATCC